CTCCCTTGACAAAAATATGCCTCAATCGGTTAGTTTGTGTTATTGTGTAACTTTGGTGTTTTTAACCCTTAAAATACCAAAAACACACAATGACACAAACAAACAAGTGCACCAAAGTCAAACAATAACACACATAAACAAAAACACTGAAGTCACACAATAACAAAAACAAACATAAACAACAAAGTCATACAATAACACAAACAAACTAACCAAAATAGGCAGCGGTAGACCAGCGACTCCCATGTTCTGCAAAGAAAGATGATTTTCTTATCAATGGAGTCTGGTGGCTTTGGCGAGAGCAACATACTGACTGTTTCTGGTTAATCGTCAAGGATCTTACTCTTTAAAAACTGTTTGTCTCTGGAGGGATTCTTTCCACAGTGTTGTCAGACACTTGTAATAACAATCTGAGCCTGTCAGTGGCAACAAGCACTTTAGTGGACGTACTTTGATGGGGCGGAATTGCCCACAAGGATTACATTGCAGCCCTGTTTTACTGCTGCCGACTGCAGCGTGCTCACTTTGGACCACTTTCAAAAAATGCGGTCCTAATTAATCACATAAAACACAAAAAACATGGGAAAATATAGTCCAGGTTGAAAAATACTAAAGTTACCCTTGAATTTTGAGTGTGTGTATTCCAAATTCAGAGTGTCTAAAAATGCTACACCATCCTGAAGTTACCATGAATTATTTATAATCAATTTAGCTACAAAGCAGAACATTCATCACTAACTAACATTTCTACCTATCTTCTGTTTGTTTGTCTTTGAATCACGTCAAATACACGTATCCACAAGTGAAGCATTTCATATAGATGATGTTTCCCTATATCAAGAATAACGTGAGGCTAATTTTCAAAATGACTGAATGTAAAATATTTTATTATGGGAAGGCTGCTGCATGGAGTTGCTTTAGTCAGCCAATGTAAATGTACAAAAACACAACATTTATGCCTTCAAGTTCATAACCTTCCCAGTGAGTATTTGGCAGACAGGATTTGGTTAGTAACTTAATATAGACGACCTAACAAGGCTGAACTGAGACTGATGACTAAAATAAACCTTGAGATCCTGGATGTTTCAGTCATTATGCTCATGATTTTCCCTTCAGAGTCCAGGTTGAAATCAAGATGTTATCTTTGTCGTACTGCTGCCTGAGCTCTGGAGCAATTTAATCTATCCTATTAATATATCTATTTAATGTCATGTCTGCTGACAATGCTTTTGTTTTTAAGTCTCATCATATACCCCATTTTTGCTTACATGATAATGCTTTACCATTTAATGCTTTTTTTTTTTGATAGCAGACAGAAAGACAGGAAACATTGTGAGAGAGAGAGAGAGAGAGAGAGAGAAAGAGAGATGACAGGTATGGCATGCAACAAAGGTCACTGGCAGGAACCATGAGGTTATATGGTATAAGTCTTAATCATTAGGCTTCCAGGACACCCTACTGGCCTTGTATGATATTTTTGTTATGATTTTCCTGTTGTATCCTTGAGGGCATAGCTTTTATGTACTGCTCTGAACCTTTGTGGCAAAGTTATTTTTATGGTACCTCATGTGCTTCCATTGTATTTTATTTCCCTTACTCTGGAAAGCATTCTTCTATTTAACACATTTATTGTAATAATATAATTAGTCGTTAATTTGTTGTTATAGTAATATAATAAGCCAAGTATCATTATTAGACTCCACTAATCAAACAAAAACTTTCAAGACATTGTGAAAATATGTTAAAGGAGTAGTCCACTGATTTAGAATTGGAATCCTTTTTCTTGTCAAAACCTGGCGCCTACAATACCCACAATGCAATTCAACTGCTGACAGTTTGATCAGGGAGATTCGGGTGTTGTTATGCTAGCAACCGCTAATGTAGCCTCGAGCTGCTAGCCTATAGCAGAGATGATGAGCAAGCTCTGGTAAGCTCACTTTTTCTAACTCCAAGCCAACAGATTTATTTTATTTTCAAACTTGTCTTCTACCCAAATGAATGCTGACTTTAGTGACATCACTTGAGGTATGAAATTTCACGCAGCTCTCTCTGTAGCCCCAAAAGGCTTTATACAATGTTTTTCACATATGCATTTGTACACCCCAAGACCTGTAGTTAGGTTTTTATGTGTAAAATTGATGAAATTCCACAGTAAAAGTAGGTTTCTGGCTCAGGCTATGGACACCGTTCATGTTTTGGGAATATGAAGTGTTGCCTTAAAGTGATGGTAACACTTTGGCAGTAGAGCATCATTTCAACTACAGTATAAAAGTGCTGTATTAAAATTAAATGTACTGTAAAATAAAAGTATGATTTTTAATTTATGTAACAGGCAGACAACTGGATAGATGGTTTTTAGGGAGGTGTTCATGTGGAGACACCGAATTCACCATTAAATATATTCAACATCTGCAGTACATGCTACATATAAAACTTAAGAGCATTACTAAAAGAAATTAATCTTCTAATAGCTGTGGCACATTAATAGATAAGACTTTACATCTATGGTTTTATGGATTTGAGATTATCTGTCTTTAGTTTGCAAACAGGAGCAGATGACAGGCTGGCAGAGGGATGGAGCGAGATGTTAAACAGAGGTGACAATCTCTGAGGAGGGTGGAGTATTTGCCACCAAGATGCTCAAGATGCTTACACACACACACACACACACACACACACACACACACACACAACACACGCACACACACGAGTCAAATGCAGCAGAAATTCTTGACAGCTTTCTTTTATGGCTATGGTGGGAGCTGTTAAGGCTGCCTGGCCAGTGTCGCCTTTAAGCTAAACTATGATCCTGAAAATACTGATGCTTACTTATTTGTTATTAACTCTACTAGAAACCATGTAGATCATCAATGACATGTTTAAAAAATTGCCAGTGTCTTGTACTACTACTAGCCACTCCTTCAGTACAACCCAAACTGTGAGAAGTGTTTGGCTCAGCAGAGAGCAAAGATTATAAACTTGAAGCGACTACACCCACAGCTCTACCAAACATGCTCAGAGAGCTCTGATTCTGTTTACACAGTGGAAGCTTAATGTTCAAGGGAACACACTCTGCATCGCATGTAATTGCTTGTGCTTCTCTCTCTTGACTTCAAAACAGGGTGCGCTGTAGTTCAAGGGTCAAAGGCTCGACTGTTGCCCAAATGCCCCCCAATTTCCTGTTTTGTCTGGCTCTGTGAGTGTAAAGGGATCTAAAATGTGATGGTCATGTTCTGCTGGAGCCAATGAGACAAAAGGCTCCACTTCAATTGATTGCTTTTCCGCTTTGTATCCCAGGTTGAAAGGTTTTTGTTCAGGTTCTAATGGGTTTAAGCGTTTTTTTTAGGTTATCGCATGCAAAGCTACACACAAAGCCTGGAAAATGGAATGCAGCCTCAACTCCCTTATTTCATCTTGTCAGGATGAACCCTTTTTTACTGCCATGGTAAACAAGAACCTCTCTCTTTTCCTTTCTCTCCATCTTAAATCAGCAGCCAAGACAGGGACTCTCACATGCAGCAAGTTATTTTAGGAGATACTTTTTTGTGCTGCACCTCAAAGTAGAAGCAGGGACAATTTTGTGTTATTAAGAAAAGGAAAAGTTTGCATATGAAAAAGCTTTGAGCAAAAACAATCACATGTCCTTTCTCCATCCACGAGGTAGATCTTTCAAAGTTGGGGAATTTCCTAGCAGACAACTGGATGAGATAAACACATGTAAAATCCCAATTTCCGCACATCTTCCCAGTAAACACACCAGCCAGAAAACACAAAGCACATATGTGAGTTTTGAGGGGGTGAGATTACGTGCAAGTGAGTGGCCCCAGTGCTAAATTACATTGCAACATGGTCCCTCTCAAAGCCCACATCTGGGAATGGCCCTGACAACTGGATGCCGTGCTGCTCTAATTTTGGTTACTTTGTTTATAACCCTATAATAGAGACAGTATAGGACCACAGGGCTGGAATGAAGGAGGGCAGGACACAAGCAAAGTAAAAGCAGTCATTTTGAAAAGACTTGTGGGAATGCAAAGTTAGGTAAAAAAGAGCTGTTTGAATTCCTGTGTATATTAGATTGAGGCAAACTTTGCGAATGCCTTGCTGTTTTGTTTGCTTTTAACAGGATTCACACCATTGCTGTGATTCCTCTTCAAACCTGAAGAATGCAGGTTGTAGCTTGTTGAGCTAGGTAAGCATACATGTAACAATAATGAGATATCTGGAATTATATTAGGAGCAGATCTGGGCTTTACTAGCCCACTCACTCTCTTTGGAGTCTGTGCATTAAAGTAATCACTGAATACATTTTGTCAACACTGGATAGACAGTATAAGTCACTTAGTAGACTTGATAATAAACAACATTTTCCCCTGAGGATAAGGCTCAACTCACCGGATGGAAACAGAAACATTGAATGTAGCTGTGCTGCAAGTGGTTGACATTTCTTCAGTATTTGGGGATTAAACTGTCATCTAGTCGTTGATTTGTCAGCTTTAATCTTAAATCTCTAATCTCAAATATGTGAGCAGGTTCAAGAGCCATTGAAAAAAAGAAAAGGGATGATGTCAGTTTTACAAGTTTTGCAGCCTGTAACGTTAAACCAATGTTGATTACTCAGTTAGTCAATCAACAAAATATTAATCAATAATTGATTATCCATTTAAGTCATTATCAAACAAAATAAAGTAAATATTTTGGGTTTGGATTTTGGGACTATTAGTTGGACAAGATAAGCTATTTGAAAACAGAATTTATACCTCCAGTTTGAACGGTCATCGCCTTTACAGTACATCTGATGTTAACTTTTGATTGAGAAGGCTAAAATTCCACAATTCTCAATGACAATTACATTATAACCCTTATGGTAGAGAACCTTTCAGTTGGACCCAGCCATATATGTGTTTTTTTTCTTAAATAATTGCTCAGTATTAAGTCATGATTGAAGGCATAACATTAACTTTTTGACAACTGAAAAACAAAACCTTTTGAAACACAGAAGATCAACTCCGCACACTGGAGGAAGAATTTTTATTGCAAAAAGTTTACTGTCCTATTAAAACTTTATTACTATTCAGTCAATTTTATAAGACCTAATGTCTCACAAACAAAATCTCTCGGCTCTGTAATGAAGGCTCACCGATAGATTCTGTTAAATCAGAGACTTTTTTGAAAAATAAAAATAAAATAAAAATAAGACATGCCATGACACACAGAATAAATTCAGGGGGCTATAATCTTGTCACTGTATCACAGGGCAGTTAGGGGAACATTTTATGGAAATCTGCAGGGGGCAGTGTGATGTGATTGTGCAACAGACTCTTAAATCTCTGCATGAGGACAAATGACATTTGGACCGTGACATACTCTAAATAGGGAAGATTCCATTTCATAATTTAGAGAAAATTGGATTACAGGAGAAAACATGGAAAACAAGATTCCACGGTATCAGATTTGGATTGACTTTATGTAATAACAAAATTTCTTCCTGAATAACTTATGAGTTCCTCCCATCTGTATATTAGATTCTGTGTATAAAAATACTGCTCTGTCTGCTCTGCAGCATTAGAATCTCTTCATCTGTCTGCGCTCTTGTCTTCTCTGCTTCTTTTCATTCACTTCCTCTGGTGCCGACGGGTTATCTGCCATAAACCAGGGGCCCAGAAAGTTCACCCACAGCAGGTAGAGGGCGCGGGCCGGGGCCTGACACACACAACAAAAGACAAGATTAAATTAAATTATAAGACATGAGGGGGGGCAAAAAGGAAAAGGAAATAACAGCTATCTCATAGAATTTATCAGGGTAGCTGGAAATAGAACATCTTCTAAAAAAGCTCTTACCAGCAGCCAAAGATACCAGAAATAAGAGGAGATTGTGCTGAGCACTTGTACTATGGCTGTGAGTAGGATGACGTCCTTCAGGTGCCTAAAACCAGAATGAACAGACAATAAATTAGAACTTAAAGTTACTGTGCACACAGCAGAAGAACTATGTACTCTTCAGCAAGGGTGTAGGTTTAGTTTCAGAAAATGAGGGACACAATAAATTCAGTTTTTTTAACCTGACAAAAAATTATATGACTGCTATTTATTTAAATACTTTTATATTAAGCAAAATATATTATAATAGTCCAACAGGAGAAGTAGAATCATGACCAGAACTTCTTTATTATTAATGCACAAAATATAAAAATACAAAAACCTCACCAAAAGAATTATAATTTTAAACTAAGCACTGTATACCTCTAAACAACATAAATTATAAAAATTCAATTATTTATGAGAAGTAAGGCAAGCAATATTTTCAGCCCTGAGTAATGTCTGCAATGCATCCTGTCCCAAATATGCTCAATCAATAAGAGGTGTTAGCAAAGACTGACTGTAGCCTGATAAGTGAAACCCAGGGCAAAAAAAGTCCATCAAGCACAGCTCACGTCGTATCATTACCAGAAAAGAAAAGAAACATTTGAAAGCTGCCTTAATAATACATCTACTGTATGCACACTGAAAATGCATTTCTCTTTTCCTGACAGACCACCTTAAAAAAGGATTTCCAAGTTGTTTCATATAGTCATACATTGTTTTCATAGTGTATTGTTGTGAGAATGAAAAAAAAGGGGAGGAAAAGGACACTGGAAGCAACTGGTTCTGGTTCTTGGGGGGCCTTCAAAGATACTGTTCGTCTGTGCTTTAACTCTGATGGCCTGTGTTTTAAGACTGATAATTGTTGACTGCTTAGCTAAGACTGCAAAATTACAAAGTTAGTGTAAGAAAGATGTTTTGTCTGATATAATGTTTTATATTTTAATGTGTCTCTGCAGTCTCTTATGTGTTGACCTTTGCTCAGCCTTCAGAGACCTAGGGTTGTACATGATCATATTTCAGATTAGACGTTGATGTGCAGTAAAGAGGAAGTGAAAGTCCACTCTTTCTGCCAGCTCGACCCTTTAGCGAGGTCTCCCTGACAACAGATGTGTGTATCTCACGCACATGGGTGGAGGTGTGAAAAGAGGTATGAAAATAAGAGGATTCATCTTTTAAATCTATATTATTTGAGTTTATAATATTCATTAATACATTTTAAAACTTGTTTTTTGAAATAACATATTTTATGTGTATCCCCTGATGATGTCTGAATAATTGTTTTGATCAGAAAAGAATGCACTATTTGCTAATGTGACATCAACAGTTGTGAAGAGACAAGCATCTTTTTCATTTTGTGACTATAGGAGCAGGGGAGGCTTTTCACTCCTTTTGAAGTCAAAAAGAGATGAGAAGAGTAGGATGAGTGTTGACATGAATTGATTTAATGTATTCTGCATTCCGAGTGGATTTTCATTTGTGCATGCATTTAAGATTATGAAAGAGAAGGGATGTTCATTTATTTTGTTTGAGAAGTGTGGCCTACTATATTTGGCCTTTATGTGTTAAACATTTAAAGGATTATACTAACATGAGTTATAGAGACCTGCATTATATGTTTTATTACCATATTTGGAAAATTGTTTGTGAACTGAGGTAAAGGGGGGTTGCAACCACTGGACAGACAGACCATCTACCTATAAAAGGAAAAGTAATGTAAAAACCAATCAATGTGATGATCCAGTCCTGATAGCCAATGATTGTTTGAGAAAAGGGTGGGGTCCACTCTGTCTATTTCTTTATTTAAGTTGCTGACCCTAGAGCTCTGAGTGAACTTTTTGGGGCTTGTTGAAAATAAATAAGTTTGTCTTTGGGTGGACGCCTTAAGAAAACTAGAAAGAGTTTTTCGTCTCATTTTTGTCTTTGTGTTATTCCCCCTCTTCTAGACTGGCAAGTTAGTATTTACTTACTTTAACATCCACACTGCCTACATTAACACACCTCATTACCGATAACCAGCAAACTGGCCATTTAAGTAGCTCATTCCAGGTTATGTGTTCAGTACCCTACTCTCTGGAAGTGAGAGAGGAAGAGGCGTTGACTAGGGAACTTTTGAATCAGAAATTCAATACAGACGGTCAGGCCAGTACCTAGTGTTGAAACAATCTTGTTATCAGAGGTTGCCCTTTTTCCTAAGTTCCTAATTCATAATGCGCTAAGGGCGCCCAGAGATGGTGACCTGAGAGAGCGGGATTCCTTGCGGAGGGCCACTTGTTGCTACAGTATGAAGACTAAATATGGAGCTTCTCTTCCAAATATATATGAATCCATTTGTACTTTGGGGGCTACTTACTCTGCCATTCCCTGCTCCATGTTTAAGTCTATTCCTCCGTCCAGGAGACTTCCATCCTCAGCAAACGCTGGCTTGGCCATGGCGGACATAGAGCGGTAGCTCCCGACATACACTGCTAGTGCAAACACAAGCAGCAGCTATGGGACGAACACAAGGTGGAGGAAGGGAGAGGTGTTACTAGAAATTAAATTAGAAAAGTGGATATTGAGATTTTAAATAATCTTGATTAAATACACTCACCCATGTCCAAAAGTTAGACGAATTGTAGAAAACCAAAAGATTTACAGCCCCATATATTGCCTGCGGAGGAAGAGCAGTATTGAAATGGGTTTGGAGGACCTGACAATATAGTAGAGCTGTAGTGATTACTTAATTAATCAATTGGTTGATCAACAGAAACATTTCTCTGCACCTATTTTGATAATCAATCAATCATTTCAGTGATTTTTCATACAAAAATTCCTAAAATGATCTGATTCCAGCTTCTCAAATGTGACAATTTGCAGTTTTTTTTCTCTCTCATTCTGTGGGAAACACTATACAATGATTGGGATTCATGTTGATAAATATGAGTGGGCAGGGGGGTGAGTGTGAGCAAGCATTCTCAATGTGACAACACTTTCCATTAATATTCCAGCGTGTTGTCCACCTTTAGATGGCCTACATTAAAACAACACGGGGCGCAGTGTCAAAGATGCGTCCATCTTCTGAACATTGTAGTTTCATCACAGCAGGTCACGTCAGTAACATCCGCCGTCGCATAATTACGCGTCGCCTAGAAAAGAGCAGTCAGATTCTCTTGGCCCCACGTTCATCTTTTCCTAAGTTCTTATGAATTGTCCTTCACATCTTTCCTTGACCTTATGACGTTTTCCATCGAGGTGAAGGAAAGGTGGTTAGGAAAGTTGATTTTTTTGACTTTGTGTCCGAGATCACCCACTACTCACTATATAGAGGACTATAAAGTGAACTCACCATTTTGTAGTGCTGTCCGAATATATAGTGATAATTATTATACCCTATAGTGATAATTATTATACCCTATATAGTCCACTCAATGTATCCCGAATGCATTTTGAAAAGTAGTGTACAACCGATGGTCACTAACTAAGCTGTTCTTGAGTATGTTGAGTTTGAGTTTAATTGTGTTTTGAGTTAATTGTAAGTTGAGTTATCTTTAATAAATCATTTTGTTCATTTAAACTGTTTTCTGTGTGGACCTCCCTCTTTGTTATGCACTTCAACAAGCTGGGAATAACACCACTCTATACGCAAATAAACACGAACATCATTTCTGTTTGCAAACACCAAATGTGTTGTTGTTTTTAACTTGAATTTGATAAATTTACTGTCAAATTACAAATAAAACAGGAATTAGGCTGGAAAAATGAGGGTTTCTAGGGGACAGGCCACACTGATTACTGTCTGAAAACACAACTTTATTAACTGACTGGAGACAAGGGATTACATTTCATGAAGAAAATATTTTCTGTTTTTCCCTTTTCTGAGTGATCATATCTCAGATCTATCTATCAATGTGTCCTTGATGCGTATTGGGCGCATTCACACCTGTACTTAGAGCTGTTCACTTGTGATCAGATCAATCAGGATGCAAGTTAATGCCAAGTGTCGGGGCCTGACACTCAAGCAACTTTCATCCAATAAGACATATCAGTGAACTAGTATAATAATAATAATAATAATAATCCTTATTTGTAGAGCACTTTTCAAAAACAAGTTACAAAGTGCTTTAACAAGTGTAAAGAATAATACAAAAAAAATAAGAGCATGAAAATTTAATATAAAATTAGTAAAATACAATAAAATAAAAGGGATAAAATAAAGTCAAATAAGATCGGGAAAAGCTCTCCTATAAAAGTATGTTTTAAGAAGGGACTTAAAAGAGTTCACTGACTCAGCCGACCTGATTTCCTCGGGCAGGCTGTTCCAGAGCCTCGGGGCCCTGACAGCAAACGCTCTGTCCCCTTTAGTTTTCAGTCGAGACTCTGGAACAGACAACAGACCTCTGCCCGAGGATCTCAAGGTACGTGCTGGTGCGTATGGGACTAAAAGGTCAGAAATATAACAAGGCGAGAGGCCATGAAGAGCTTTAAAAGTGATCAATAGAATTTTAAAGTCAATTCTAAAACATACTGGGAGCCAGTGTAATGAAGCTAAAATAGGAGTAATGTGGTCATATTTCTTTGTTCTGGTTAAAAGCCTGGCAGCTGAGTTCTGGACAGTCTGGAGTCGATCAATAGATTTTTGGGTTAAACAGGTGAAAAGGCTGTTGGAATAATCCAGGCGTGATGAGATGAAGGCGTGTAAAATGGTCTCGGTGTCCTTAAAAGTTAACATAGATCGAATTTTAGCTATATTTCTAAGTTGATAAAAACATGATTGAACAAGCTTTGTGGTGTGCTGCTCGAAATTTAAATTACTATCAAACCAAACACCAAGGTTCTTTGCCACAGGCTTAATGTGATTTACTAGGGAACCAGCAGATGGCAGTATTTGATTTGCCATCTGCTGGGACCCGATGGCCAGGATTTCTGTTTTGTCTGAGTTCAGCTGGAGGAAATTATTTGACATCCATTTTTTAACTTCACAAAGGCAGTTGTTAAGTGAACTCAGCATTCCAGGGTCTGTGGATCTGACGGGCAAGTATATTTGTGTGTCATCAGCATAAATATGAAAAGAAATGCCATGTTTATGGATAATATGTCCAAGGGGAAGCAGATACAAGGAAAACAAAATGGGTCCTAAGACCGACCCCTGAGGCACACCATATTTAACTGGACAGAATGAAGAGACATAGTTGTTTACAGACACGCAAAACTTCCTATAAACCTGTATAAACCTGATACCACTCTTTAAACGACTGCCGTCTCCACCTCGCTGAGATTTAAACACTTTCTTCGACTGACACAAAACAAAAATAAGCATTGACGTTCTTACATTAGCTCCTAGGATGACTCTTGTGTAGAACTTCAGCGTCGCCTCGTTCTCCTCATAGATCTGCTTCTTTCCCTTTGTGCCAATTTTCCCTTTGGGCTGTCGGACAAAACACAGAGAGCTGTTTCAGCAACATCAGGCTGTTTTTCAACCAATCAATGCATTTAGACTAAATGTAGGTGCAAAACAGGCTTTTCACACATGCCTTTCTTAGGGTAATGGTTTGGGTAGACCTTTCTTCTTTTTTTTACTCCACATACATAAAGAAAACTGTATATTAAACTGCACTGCTTTATTTACAACTTTTTGTATAGTTATTATGCTGTTTTTGCTCTGTGCTGTGTTTCTTTTGTTGTATTGCGTTTGTACCCCTTTGCAAAATGGTGTTATATAACTTACAATGAGTAATGTTTGATTAAGTTATTATAAAACAAAACTCAATTCGGAATTTCAATAAGAGGCCATGGAAGGCTAACTTAAATCACACCACATCTGAATAGATTTACAACTGATGTCAGAAAGTGATTAAACCTGCGTTTGATTATTCTTTTGACTTGTTGTAACTGTGGTCTCACTGTAGCTGAGTCACTTCGCACAACAGCATCAGCTACAGTGACTTGCTTATTGTAGAAGTGATTAAGTCAGTTGTTCCTGTCTCAGTCTGTCACTGTTGCAGCTGCATGTGTCTGATTCCCTCACCGCCATTGGCTCTCAGACGCGGTGCTGTTGATCTCTTCCACTGCGTCTTCTTTGACATCGACCTGTGACCCACCGCCGCTTCTCTCCGTTATTATATTAGTGCATCAAAAAATAAACTCAGAAGTCTGCTTTCGGTGTAGTTTCTTGTAACACATCAGCATTTGAGATTTCTACAGAGAGTCAACATATCCGGCGCATGAAAATGCCGTCATCAACCGCCCTCGAAAACGGGCTCGTGGAATTTGGAGACAGGGTACCACCACCACCTGCTGGTCATCTTTTAAAAACAATAAATAGTCAAATTTAAAACGTTACCAGCGGACAATTAAAAGGGATATACTCAATTACAGTCTGTACAATGACGCTGTCTTATTAATGCAAGATTAAATGTCAATTTGTAAATGCATCTGCCAGAGCAAAGAAAACATGAGTTCACAGATTCATCTGGTTCCCATCTTGCTGTTTTACCTATGTATAACTGAAATAGGGACCATGTTGGTGTACCTCTGTGGAGCTTCAGGAATTGCTAAAATACTGGACATAAGATTAAAACTGTGCATGAAAAACTCGTCTTTCTGCTGTCACCCCAATAAAGTGGATGTGAGTGTAGATTCGTTCACAATTAGCTAAAACATTAGGAAACAGTTTATAGTCACACCATAGGTGTCATTTACAGTGGGGACATTTTGAAATGGCTAATTTTGTCCCCATCACTTTTTGAAAGCATTTGTTAAAAATGTTCCTAAAAATACCTAGCACCAAGAAATGTTAACTAATAAATGAAAATACTTTGGCAAAGGTTTATTTGCACAATTAGAAAACATGCAAAGCCATTTAAATATTGAAGAAACAAATGTGCATTGTCCAAAAAAAGTCACAGGCTGCTGATTACTGCATTATATTATGTTATATTTTTCTATTCATGAATTGTCACCTGCCAGCTGAATTTATTGCTTCTTTTTTTTTTATAAATGAAGACATTTCCGAAATTGGAGCAGAAATTGTCTCCACATTGCAGGAAATTAAGTGTTTAATGCACAAAATCTTCTGAGGCAGGACCCCCAAACCCATACTCAGCATTTCTGATTTCTTTAAAATAGTTTTAAAAAATCTTCTCATCTTGTTTTTGAGCATTGTCAGGTCTCGTTTATCATCATACCCCTAATCTGAGCCCTTATGTCCCCGTCACTTTTCAACACAAAGTGACGCCCTTGAGACACACCCTTTTATACATTGTGACTGCTTACATTTAAGCAACACTTGTTCTTGCTGGAATATTACAGGGATATTTCTGAGATTTTTTATCAGTAGTGAAAATAGTTAAAGTATATTTAGTCAATAAATTACATATAGCTGCTGATTTTCTAAGTAGCCTATTTTGTACTTTATTTTTTAGGTACTTGTACTGTACTTGAGTATTTTTATTTCATACTACATTCTGCTTTTAATCCACTACATTTTGAGAGGGAAATATTGTAGTTTAAAGTTCTCCACAGACAAACCTTTAAACTTCTCACAAGGGTTAAAAAATGTAGGTAAAATCAGTGGTGGACAGTAACTAAATATACTTGAGTATTTTCTATTCATGCCACTTTCTACTTCTACTACATCTCGTAAGGGAGATATTGTACTTTTTACTTCACTACATTTAGGCTATCTGACAGCTTTAGTTACTAGTTACTTCACAAAGTAATTTTTACACAAAACATATGAAGAATTTAAAAGTATAAATGTTTGTTATAAATAAAGCCACCCAACATTTCACTAATACAGCTGACACAATTATTAGACTGACATTGAAATTAACGGTCACCAACTTTCAAGGTTAAGACATTTTTCATGTAAAAAATTTCATAGTTCCACCTTCACAAATATTTTAACTTATTTGTAATTTTGAGCTTTGAAGTGTTGATTAGACAAAGCAAGCTTTGTGAAGGTGTCACTTTGGACTCTGGGTAACTGTGATGGCATTTCTCACTGTTTTCAGAATTTCAAAAATTGATTAGTGGGGAAAATAATTGGCAGATTAATCCATAATGTAAATAATCATTAGCTGCACTCTGATAAACAGTTAAAGGAGCTCCAGCTCAACAATTACATACATAAACATACTAATAGTATTTTGACTCATGAAGTAATTTAAATTGAAGACTTCTACTTTTTTCGAGGAGCAATATTTAGCAATGGTATCTGAACTTTTACTCAAGTACAGGATTTGTGTACTTCGTCCACCACTGGATAAACATAATTACAGTAAAGCCCAAAAGATATTTTTTGTTTTGGTACTTAATTTGAGTAAGATATATGAGTAGTTCTTCCACCACTGAATATTGTTTAAGCTCTGTTAAAGAAAATACATTATTTAAACAGTCAATACTATCTGTTAATTACACTTTCGACAACATAGGCAAACAAATGCTAGGCGTTGCTGTTATAATTAGGCTAGGTAGCAGAATTTAGGGCGCCCTGTTCAGTTATTTCGAGAAGCCATTTCTGACCCTTCGCGGCCACCGTAGACTGAACAGCAGCACCACTTTCTAAATAACAACATTACGGTGGCTGCTTGTCTCAGTGAAACGCTTATCTTGGTATCGGTTAGCAAGCAACAACCTTCGGCTTGGTTCACAGCTAATCATATGATTGCACATTTAGGAAGCGAACCTCACAATTGAACTGACAGTTTATGCTACAAAATGGACTACTTGCTTCAGGTGAAAATAGGCGCTCTGATCGGTTTACTGCTTTTAACACTTCTTTTTGGATTTATCCCTGCTAAAGTGAGATGGTTCAGAGATACAAACGGCACAGGTTGGTAAACGTTAATATTTCATAAGCAGTTAATATAAGCAACTGTTAACATAGGTATTGTTCATTAAGATATCCTGTGTTGTATTCATCTTCCTCACAGTGGCATAAAGTTGCCTCCAATCGGATAACGTTACACAGTGTGGATTATGGCGAACAATTTATACGTTTTACTTTGATTTTGGATTACTTGTGGCGGCATTACTTTGATGCCGAACCAAAAAAGGGAAGTTACTGATTCATTTGCAGTCTTCATTTCTATCTTACGCTGTGTTACATTTTGCAAATCAACAAGCAAACGTTAAATGGCCAGACGTTTTAATGAAGTTTCGTGGTCGCGCCTTAGATCAGCGGAAGCTACAAGGTCTTTTCACCGGCCAACTGAATCACATGCTTTAGCTGTAGATAGCCTAATGTTGATTAACAGCTATTGATTTTATCAACTGCAGCATAGAAACCATAAATTAAGTGATAACAGAGTTGTGGTAACGTGGTTAATAATAGAGCTGGCTTTCACCCATTGATCAAGTCAAGTCAAACAACCACCATTATGAGCAAAAGCAGATCCTTTCCCGGAAATGTAAAAAATGTTTCATTTTCTTAAAACATTTCCATATAGTTTGTAATGGTCTGCCAGTGTTTGCTAATTATTGCACCATTACGTTGTTACTCATTTATGTCAACCTGTATGGTTAAAGTGATAGTTTATCACTATCATTACTACAACAACTCCGGGCTGGAGTCACCTGATAGGGATGAAGCCTGAAGCCTCTTAGCACATGGTCACGTTTAATTATGATGAACTCTGGCTTTCTTATATGGAAGTGAAAGTATAATTTCTCTCTATTACATATTAAATCTCTGCATGTGTGCTCTGCTGAGTCATATTGACTTCTGTTCTGTGCTTTCCTTGATGTGTCACATGATTTTCCAAAAATTATTCTAACTTTTGAAGGATTGACAGTGATTTATGTTGAAGTGCCATGTCTGAGATGTACCATTAATCCCACAGTTATACCCCAGGTGTACTCAATTTTGTTGCCAGCAGTTTAGACATTAATGGCTGTGTGATGTGTTATTTTGAGGGGACAACAAATTTACACTGTTAAACAAGCTGTACACTCACTACTTTATATTGTAGCAAAGTGTAATCTCTTCAGTGTTGTCACATGAAAAGATTTAATCAAATATTTACAAAAATGTGAGAGGTTTACTCAGTTTTGTGAGATACTGAATACCTAGAAATGCGCAAAATCAGACACATAACACATAATTGAGGCAAAAATTGGACAATGTGCTTTGTTTACTCAGTAGTTTATGCCATTTTGTCTGCATTCATTTTACTATTGTGTGTATGTTGTGTATATTGAAACATGAGATGTTTAATCGTTACATTTGCAGAAACCCACCGCACAGTTCTGAGTCTGATCAGCTGTTTCGCCGGCGGGGTTTTCCTGGCAGCATGTCTCCTCGATATCATTCCAGATTATCTGTCAGACATCACCGCTGAGCTGAATTCCCGGAAGGTGGAGGTATGGCAGGTTCTGAATAAAATCTTACATATACTATATACATTATATACACACTTGGACTTTAACTAACAATTATTTTTAGCGCACATGTATCTGTCAATATTGTTTTTGATAAATCTATTAATCATTTAGTCTGAAAAATGTCAGAATGTTGTGAAAAATGCAAATCTCAACTTCTCAGAGCCAAAATTGACCTCTTTAGTTTATTTGTTTTGTCCAACCAGCAGTCTAAAACTTCATAATGTTCAATTTACAATGATATAAAACAGAAAAAGCAGCAAATCCTCACATTTGAGAAGCTGGAACCAGAGAGTGTTTGGTATTTTTACTTTATAATTTACTTTAAATGATTAATAAAATGTCTAAATTGTTGATTAATTTTCTGTCAATCAATTAATCGGTTAATTTACTAAATCATACACACAATGTAGGGATTACATCTGTCCATGTATATTAAGCATACTTTAGGACTAAGTCAGCGGCATCTGCTTTTGCTGTTTTATTCTCTTAAAGACTAAGATAATGTTCAGCTGCATTTATTATTCAATAAAGGGATAGAATGAAAAGGTCTTAAATACTTAAATGCTAGAATAAAGTGAGAACAAGTGATCGATTGATTCCAGTTGCTTTTGACAAAGCACTTCTAGATATCTTGTCCTTGATGACTGTTGGCCGTTAAAGACAGAACTGTGCTGTTTACCTTCTCTGTTCCCTGAATCTTGACTTCATCGGAATGAGCCTGCAAACCGATTGATCTCTATGTCTGTCTCAAACAGACCAGTTTCCCACTTCCAGAGTTCATCATGGCAGCCGGTTTCTTCACGGTCCTCATACTGGAGAGGATTGTCCTGAACTGTCGGGAGA